GACCTATTTAAGGCTACTATGCAATGAGGGTATCATCTTTTGGCGGCTGAAGCACGAAAACACCTCTTTTGGACCTCTTGGAGCAAGTTTGGGTGTGTGAGAGCTCTTCCTTCTTCTTCCTTGGGTCTCCATTGCTTCCCATTTCTTCCATTGTAAGCTCAAGCTCTCCATGAAAATGGAGAGCTAACTTCATTTCTTGTTGGGGAAGGATGTAACCTCTGAACTTCATGTATATAAACATGTTTTGAATATATATTAAGCTTCTTTCATTGAATGCTAGTGGTTTTCTCCTATTCTTAATGCTTGTTATGTTTTTGGCTATTCATAACTTGATTTTTGGGGTTTATTTGCTGTGGAAAATAGTTCATGAACCTTGACTTGGATTAAGCTACCTAAAGGAAGTAGTATCTAGGAATAGAGCTAGGACCTTTAGTTATCATAAACTTCTTTTCTTAATGCGGAAGTGATTATTAGGGTTTTCAAGAAATTGAAGTCTAATAAACAAGTATAGGCTCTTTATTATAAGGAATTGGGTTTTGAGTAATCTAGTAAGTTGATTTTAGCATTTTAATGAAGAAGTTGAGTTTGTAATATGCATGAAAGTGAAGTAGGTGAAGTCTAACCCCAAAAGATCATTTTAATATTCACACAATATGTTTACTTTAAGTGCATTCAAACCTTACTTAATGGAATCATTCTTTAGTCTAAATTAGTTAAGTAATTATACGATTGTTCAGTGTTACACGAGTCTCTTGGAAACGATATCATGTCTTACCGGTTTTATTACTTGAACGATTCGGTATGCTTGCCGATGTCTTAACAATAAACCAGTCTATCCTAAGGTAGCCTCTTTAATAAGAGAATTGACATACATTCTTGGAAACTTTTCAAGCAATGAACCCTCACCTAGCCAATTATTTTTCCAAAACAAAATCTTATTTCCTCTTTCCTTATTTCAAGAGATATTATTATCAAACCAATTTTCTTTTTTACCTTTTCACATACTTTTCTTAAATCACTCCACCAAGATTCAAATTTTATTTTCAATATTGTTATTTAGTCTTCTCGAAGACCATACTTTGAATCTAAAATATATTTTCAGAGACCAAAATTTTCATTTTTCAATCTCCACTTCCATTTTTCTAATAAGCTATATTGAACATTTTGGTATCTCTAACTCCTAAGTCATCTTGTTATTTGGGTTTGGATATATTATCTTATTTTATCCATAATCTTTCTACAACTATATTTAAACCCCATAAGAATTCTCATTGCACACTTTTTATTTCATTCCTCACGTTTGTTAGAATCTCACAAGGATAGATACAAAAATGACAAGGTTGTAATTATCGATTTATTAAGAGTCACATAATATGAAATGTTTAATTGGAGGCATAAACAAGTCCATTATATATATATCCAATATAGAAAAACGATTTTCTATATTACAGTTTTGTCACTGAATCACTTTCTATACTTGTTCCGAGTACAACCAGTGTAAAAAAATTTATCATATTTATAATACTATAATTGTGCCACTTTCTATACATGGTGGATTTTAACCGGTAGAAAAAACTAATGTAAAAAAATGTATTTACACTAGTACTATATACACCCAAAAGTGATATCCATTGCTTTGTTGTTTTTTTTTTTCCTTTTTCACCCAAGTGATTGCGTTTTTCATGTTAGCAAAGGCACACAAGTAATAGATCTTATAAGGGGAGAGAGGCAGATTCTTCTAATGGACTTTTTTGTCACATATTATTATTATTATGCATTATCATTTTCCATGGAATTTATTTGTACATAGCTAGATATACAACACATCAATCATCATTCAGAGACCTTCTTTCTTTTCTTTTCGGCAAGTTCCATCTATGAAAAGGAACACACTTATACCCTCAATTATTAAATTCAATACAACAAGTCAAAACCTCCACAGATCTTTATCCTGCTCATCAAAATCTCACTCCATCTCTCAAACTTTTCTCCAATTGTTCTCTTATTTTGCGGTGAAAAGTGCTACAAATTGATTAACATGACAAAGACAACACTCTCTATCTACGTGTGTAAGTTATAGCATTTGTCTTTCAAATTTTCATTGCCCTACAACTAGTTAAAAAGGTCACACCTATTTTCAGTTTTGTTACCCCAACGTAGTTTGACCTTTTGATCCTCCGTAGAAAAATCTATAGCAAAATAGTCTTTTAAATACAAAAGGTTTTGTCAATTCATTCATTTAGTTTCCAATTATAAAAATCCATTAACTTAGTATTAATCATGGAAATTTGATTCTGATTACTTAAGGCAATTAGTCAATTCAGTAGATCAAGTGTGAATTTCAATTATGTTAGTTTTGTTTAAATTTCATTAATATTTAATATAACTGAGTAGAAATTCCATCTTTAGTAATTGTAATATATGTTTATTAAAAGAAAAAATAACCTTAGTATAATCTTGAAATAATTCTTAAGGAATGTAAATTTACAAAGTAAAAAATAAATGATAAAATATTCTGTTAGAAGATTAACTTCATGTTAGAATTAATTTCACTTTTAATAAAGAGACATGTAACAATTACTAAAAGTTGAAAACACATATTCAATTAACTTAACCATTAACGAAATGCAATAAATAACCTAAATATGTCGATATTTATTGTACTACATCCACTATTTACCCATCTACGTATATAAAAGGCCACTTCCAATGACACTTGAGCAAATATTTTAAAATGTTTATGATTTATTTATTAATTAATATATAAAATAGAAGCAAATAAGATAAAGAAATCACAATGAAATCATTTTAAGGAAATATATGCTGAGTCTTTTTTATCAACTGGGATAATAGAAGTTTACAATAGTTAGATGTTAAACTTATGCCACTTAGTGTATAAGGAATTAAAGCGATCTAAATTTGAATAATTTGATATTATATATTATCCCTATCATATGTTGAAGATTATATTTTATTAGAGATGGATAAACTAAATATATAATATAAGACTTTCATATGTATAAACCATAAAACTATATTATTTAAACAAAGATGCATTCTTTTATGTGTATGTGGTATGTAAAAACTTAAAATTGAAATTAAAAAACTAATTAATTAATTAAAATTGAAATAACATTAATGGAAAAGTATAAACAAAGATATATGATAAGATACGTGAGTGAGTGACTGAAAAATGAAAATAGATTCCAGTAAGTGATTTAAAAATAAAAAAGTTTACAGAAAATATTTAGTATATGACAAGTTGTTTGAGAGAGGATATAAAAGTTTAGGGTTTTTCTGTGTTTGTTTTCCCTGTCTTGTTAGGGATGTATAGTTGTGTGTTTTTGAAAATGGGCAGCGTATGGATGAGATTGATTGGATGCATTTAGGGTATGTGAGAGCATTAGAAAGAAGCGAGGCATGCATAGCAAGAGCAATAATAGTGAAAAAAAATCGTTATGATATCCATTCCAAAACGAAGCACAAATGATGGTAAATTTGATAAAGTTGATTTGTATTCTTTCATGAGAAGGGAATGCAATTAAAGGGTATTAAATTTGTGTGGTATTAGGATAATGATTCCTTTAGATGATAGCAAGAATGGTCCCTTAGAGTCAAGCCAGAAAGAAAGCTAGCTGCTACTGAAGTCGACTTTGTTGTCTATTTGCGTGACCTCTGGCTGGTGGAATATAGTTAACTACGTCTTATCACTCCCACGAAAGAAAATGACACCCATCCTCAAATATCTCATACCCTTTTCAGATTCAATCACACCTACCTCACTGCATTTCAAAATTTTCTTATTCCTCTCATCTGGGTATCTGTCATCAAAGAGAAAATGTTTTGCTCATGTTAATATGTTTCTGTTGCACCAGTTTCATCTTTCTTCACTTCTCCTATATATCATCATCTGCTTTTTAATTAATTATTCTTGAATTATTATTACGTCATCTTGAACTTTTGATGTGCGCATGTCGAATTGATTATGATTAAGTAAGGTGGAGTGTCAGATTTTGTGCAGATGATGAGGTATACTTGAATTATCTGTGTGAATTTATTTGTACTGGTTTTGTGGTGGAAAAAGAAAAAGGGTAGCTTATCCTGAGATATGGGTTGTACGAGTCAATGACATTTTTAGAAGTGAGAAAATAGGGAAACAAAAATTGACAGCATCAAAACTAGTCCCGGATAATCATGGAGTCTCATGGCATCACAACCCAAATATCCATTTAATAACATTAAGGTTTAAGATAATGTGATAAGATTAAGTAATTAAATAGGCGATGCATCAACATCCACTACCACTCCTTTCATCCTACCTCTCTCCCAACACAGTAATAACATCATCATCATACGTGAACGGATATCATTAATAAAATAATCATTAACTTAATCATAATTAATTTTCAATACTAATTACTACTTTTTACTTGACATGGTATAAGACAAATATCATCATGTAGAATATTTTCTCAGAAAAAACTCCTTTTCATATGACGTTTCACGTTGGAACAAAATTCATAAACTCACCTGGTGCGTGTAAACCAGAAAAGCTTCTAGCTAATAAGTTGCACATCGCATAGGACGTGGTGAAAATTATTTCATAACAAACAAATTAATATTGCATACTTTATATGTGTTTATTTGCTTATACACATGTTCCAACTCAATAAGATTCGTGAAGAATAATTCTGGGCAAAAGGATAAAGATGTGAGTGAGACAAACAACCTTCTAGCTAGGTTACATGCAGAGACGTGATCGAGAATTCGTTACCATATATGTTACACTTGGACAAAATAAAATCTTGCTACAATTCTGCTAACTGTAGTCAGTCACAATTCACACCGCAGATGAAATAAAATCAATATTTATGTATATATCATCAAGCTCTTTAGAACAATACAGAATACATTGACAGACACTATAGTTTGTTTTTTTAATTCACATATATGAATATAGATCGTGTTCTAAAGTATATGATCTACACAAAGCTCATTAATTTGTATCCTAAATCAAGGTATACATATAACTGCTGAAGTGAAATCTTTCTTCTCTTTTGAATATTTGTACATGAAGAGCACACCACCATTTTTATTTACATACCAATAAAACAAGCAAATATCTATATATACGTATAAAGCTATATTTAATTTTAGCTAAAAATATCCCATGGCCTCACCTTTAGCGTTGTTATTGCCTGCAGCTACCTCCAATGGTTGAACAAGTTCATTCGATGAGGCCCATCTAATTGATCAGACTCTAACAACTGCTTCCAAGTTCCTAACAACCAAAATCTCAATATCCCATTAAAATCTTTACAATCTAATTGGCATCATCAAGAGAGTGTATATACTGTAACCAGCTGAGGATCACATCATGTCCTTCTTATAGTAATTCAACATCTCCTTGTTCATCAATAATTAAATAAACCTGAAATATTGTTCTAAGCATACCAATTCATTCCTGGTATTTGATATGTTGTCCTAAGAAGTCCATCGCCTATGGATCCCAACATAGATTGCTGGTGCAATGAAGGGGTTTGAGGGAGCTGGTTAAGCAGAGTGACAATTGAGGTGGCAGTGCCATTATCTTGATCAGTTCTCACAACACTTCCGTGATTGTTGTCCCCACTTTCCAAATTCAACCTCTTGTTGGATGATGAGGTGCCAGCCAAATCCTCATCATTCCAATACAGCGACGAGAGTGTTCTTTTACAAGTGTTGGAAGAGTGAGTCATGGTTGGCACAAAAGAAAGCTCTGCCTTGGAGTTTGAGGCCCCCATGGCACCAGGTGTAGTACCAGTCGTACTTGTGTTCATCACTGATCCGTTACCTATCATCATCCCTTCCAACAGGTTCTGGTCATTTTCCAGCAATGCACTGCTGTAGCCTGTGGACATCTTTGAAAGATGATGATGATGGTGATGATACCTCCCACTCATGTGACCCACGTTGATCGAAGGAGGAATCCCTCCAATCATGTCTTCCATTGAATCTTCCCTGTCATGCTCCATGGGAGACCTGTGCGTGTTGCTCTTCTTGTAGATTCGGCACAGCACCCAATCATTAAGCTAAACAAACACATATCATTCAGAAACCCAGAAAAGGGACAGAGAAGAAGCCAACATAATATTTAATTCCTCAACCAAACACAGATAAAGTTTCTCAAAGCCGCACATGGGTAACATGTACAATATTTTGATGAAAAATATTTATTTTACACATATTATATAGAAGAAACTCCAATACTGATGATTGAAAAACAGCATCTGAATAAACTGTATCCATCACAGTAAAACATTTTCACACGGACATTCAAGACAAATCCATCATATCACCACATCTAATATATCATATTAAGAAATAGATGATGTGATAAAATGATGAAATTCTATTGAAGGTGTGACATGTGTATATAAATCAAATTGTGGTGAATTACCCTTAGAGAGTTTTTCTTGTTGCCCAAGTCACAGCCAGGAGGCCTATTGTTAGGCTTGTTATCAGCAAGCCTATACTCATGCATGATCCAATTAGTTTTGATTCCTCTTGGGGGCTTCCCTCCATAGAAAACCAAAGCCTTTTTCACTCCAACCTTCTGGGTTCCCCCAGAGGTTAACACAGGCTTATCGGTCCCAGTGGCCTTCCAATACCCAGAAGTGGCCGCTCTGTTTGGCCTCGCACCGTTCGGATACTTCCTGTCCCTCGGACTAAAGAAGTACCACTCCTGCTCCCCAAACGTGGCCTTAGCTGCCAAACCATAAGAAAAAAAGAAAAATTCAAAAGAAAAGCAAAATCAATACGAAAAACAAAACAAACCCATTTCAGTTTTGAACGTAAAGTCCGAGTCTTTGTATTCCTCGAATGAATTGCAATTACCGGGTAGCTCCCATGGATCAAACTTGTAGAGATCAACCTCAGCGATTATGGCGACGGGAAGAGGAACGGAAGCTGTTTTTTTCTTGAGGTAGTGAACGACGAGCTCCTCGTCGGTGGGGTGGAAGCGGAAGCCAGGTGGCAATTGCGGCTGCTGTTGTGACCCGGTGGAGGAGTCGGTGCTCTCCATGGTGAGCGAATGAAAGCTGGGGTATGTGTTTCTTATGGTTGTTTTGTTTTCACTAGGATGGGTTCTTTCAAGTGGTGGTTATGGCTTCCACAGAAAACATGTTATTAGTTGGGACGAAATGTTTTGTTTTTGCTACCCCACATAAGGGTGAGGCCCATGTTTTATATTGGTACGGGAGTGGGAAGCATCCAGTGCGGAAGGGTGTATGGAAGCATCCAATGGATTTACCTGCGGAGTGAGGTGGCGGCGCGTGTGTGGAAGAAGGGTGGGTGTGTGATGATGACGTGCACTGGAATTCTGGCCGTTGACAGGTTGACACATGGGATTCTAAATGAAGGAGGGGTTGACACGTGGGTGTGGTGTGCAGTTTGTTTTGTTTTTCCAATTATTATCAATGTGTGGTTTTTTTCACTGATGGTGATTTTAATTGTACTTTGTGTTATGGAAGAAAAAGGTTGGAGTGGAATGATAAGTGTGAGGTGTGGTGGTGAAGATAAGATTTTAGTCTCTGCTTTTGTTGGAGCCACCAATCCATTTCTAACAAGAAAATTACCATGCTAATCACGTGGGACCCATCCCATAATCCCACTTCCTACCTCCAACCATGCGAATGGTAAGTAAGAATACATCTTATTTTTACATCTTTTCTCAGCCACACTATTTTATTCTTCTCAAATTTAATCATATATCTTTCTCTAAGATACACACTACCATTCACCCACTCAATATAAATATATACATCTGTTAATTAAATATATATGTATTTTTGTGAGCTGTATGGAACAGGCTATGGTAGAAAACTATACATTAATTTTTATTGTGGGAAAGGAAAATGTTGAATGAGATCTAATTAAGGCTTGGGAGTGTTTGTTTTGACACATGAAATTATTAATTGTTTTTCGTTTGTATAGACTAAACTTAATATATTACTATAAGAGTATATATTCCATATATGCTAATTAAACCCTCATTACTTACTATTAGTACTATAGGGGTTTGTGTTAAAAGGGAAACACTGATTTAATTTGTTATATTTTGGTATTTCTTTATTTAATATTAGGATTGAAATGATATTGATAAATCCTACGAAAAACAATGACATCGATCAAAGTCCAGCACGTTCTAAGAAAAATTGAAAATCATATATAAAAACACAGGGCTTGCTGTTCCTAGTCAATAATTAATTTCACTCATTTAACTTCAACTACAATATTCAACATGGTGATATACTGATTAATTGTAGTCAGAAGAGATTACGGGTCTCAAATTCTATGTATATAATTAGAAACTTATTAATTGCTTAATTAATTTTGGGAGTGAAAATTTGAAACCCAAGAAACTGTTTGTTCAAGGAAACAAGAGTTCATGAAAATCTTACACACAAATATGTTCTGAGTTTTGTCTTTTTTTTTTATTACCTATATACGAAATTGTAACACGTTTATGTTTTTATTTAGATGTTATTCAATTTTTTTATTTGATATTACATTTTCAAAAAAATTTACGCATTGTAGACTAATTTTAGGGTTAATTAATTAAAAACTATTAAAATTATTTAAAAGTCATCAAATTTATTCTACAGTACTTTATAATTAGAGATGGGGTGTTGGTATGAAATTTAAAACTAAATTAATGTCTTGCAGTGTAGTTTGTAATAATTTTTTATTTTCATTATATAAAATTTCATTTTTATAATAATTATATACAAAATTTTAAGTTTATTATAAAAAACGAAAATAAAAAATTAACTTTAATTTTGATATAATATGTTCAGTAGTTTTGATATTAATAAGCCATTGTGTGACGAGAGCATAATGTCATTAGCAATTGTGTAATTGAAATTTGTAGGATGCGTTTGACTAAGGCAGAGAGAGGATAAAAAGACAAAGAAAAAAATGGACATTTGGAACAACAGAAGAAGGAAATGATGCAATGAAAATAATGAAATGAATAAGTAAATAAAGAGTTATTTTATTGAGAGAGAAAAGAAGAGATAGTTAGAGTATGATGTGGGGCCCAAATGCTGATTCTATGACCGACCAGAGGGTCCTACTATCACTCACCTGACACACACAAGGTGGTGACTACTTCAACTTAGGGTCAAAATATCTAACAGCTTTTTTTTTTTTTTTTTCTGATCAACAACTCATTATTAAAATATTTTTTTTCTCTTTTAATAAATTATTTATACATGCATAAGAACTTGATATGTTTAACAAATTCAATTTTTTTCATTGATGTTAAACATGTTGATTGGATAAGCTAATTGCTTGTATTATTATTGTTGAAGAGGCAAACTCCTTCGGTGTGAACGAGAATGTCTTTGTATGTGAAAACAATGTGATTAAAAAGAGGGAGACATGATAACATAATCAACATAAATGCATGATGACATTTTATCATCTTTGACGAAGGAAAATAAAATAAAAAGTAAGAAATAAAATAAAACTTCAATATAGTTGATAACAAAATAGAAAATAAAAATATACTAAACAAGTTCTCATCCATTTATAAATTAATTATTCTTTAAATTCTCTAATTAACCACACAGCTTTTTATTTATTGGTTAGATTAAGAAAAAAATATTTAAACTATTTGACTTTAAAGTTATGCAGGATTTTTTAGCGTATCAAAATAGTTAAACAATAAGGGATATAAGTGATTTTAAACTTTTACTTTTTTTACATTACAAAATGATATGTCCTAACCTCAATTTGAGGTTAATGATAATTTATCTACATTTTTTTAAAAGCATTTTTTTTAGTAAAGAAATTATGATGGAAGCATCAAGTTTCAAATAAAACATGTTATACAATATTTTTATAGTTGTTTATATGTTTTGATCTCATATTTATTTATTAAGATAATATTTTTCTGAAAAATCACCACATCCAATATATCATATAAGTTTATAAGTTTATCATATTAATTTTATGGTTGTAAAATATTTCAACTGGATACATAAAGCCAATATTTAATATGACAACTTCTTCAAAGAGCTAGGTATAACATTATCCTAACATTATCCTTTTAACAATTGAGATTAATGTGGCGTAAACCTAACCTTATCTTATTTCAAAAGTTGGTCATTTCTTAAAGTTCAAATAATGTGTTTTCTAATTAAGATCAAACCCATGATAAACAAATAGAATTATTTCGTTCATTTTATTTAACGTGCTCCTCATTTTTCTATGCATTTAATTTGATTTATATTTTGGTAAATTTTATTCAATTTAATCTTTTTTTATGACATCATCTAAATTGTTAACGAAAGAGTATACAGGATGCACAATTCCTATGATGCTATGATATTTTATTTGAGGTGTGTGTTGTGACATGACTCCTCTCCACTTATTCACAAACGTTAGGGTTCCATGAACCCATGGTTGCTAGAGACGCCACTGCTGCCATCGATAACCCCAAAGAGAAGCTCGACAATCCTAGAGAAGTTCGACATCCCCAGAGAGAAGCTTAGTAACCCAGAGAGAAGCTCAACAACCCTATAGAAATATTTTCAGTATATTGTGAAAAAACGATGATGAAGGAAGAAGAAGAATGAAATCTGTAATGGTAAACAACGATGATGATAATGATTGGGTTTATTATGAAAATGAAAAATGGAATGATGAATGAAGGGAATGGAAGCAGAAAGTCAAGATTGATGAGTGCAGTGTGTGAAAGATAAATGATTGTTGATAATGGAAAGGATGTGAGAAGTGATGGTTTTTGTGTGTGCGTGTTTTCTAAAAAAAAGTATTGATTGGGGAAGGGGTTGAAAAAAATTTCGATGCAGGTTTAGGGATTGCACGTGCACAAGGGTTTTGCAATCTGCGTTCATAGTGGAGGACGAACAATGATTGGGTGCTCGAGGTGGATTCATGTTTCACGGTGGTTAGATGAGGGAAATCTGGTAGTTGGGTGGCTATTCAAAGATGGACCTATGATTCTAGCGCAAATATGTTTCTGTCTCAGGGTGATGGTGGACCATGGTGTTTACACCTAACATAGATCATGTAAGCAAAAATCACACTATTCATTCAAACGGTATCATCTTGTACACTTTTTCATTAACAATTTAGACGACATCATGAAAAATGATCAAATTGAACAAAATTTATCAAAATAGAGACCAAAATGAACGCTCAAAGAAAATGAAGGCCACATTGAACAAAGTGAACAAAAATAGAGACCAAAATAGTAATTAAACCTAAACAAATTCATGTATCTATATCAAGTGAAGTAATGTTCTAAGATTGGAAGAATCTTTCTAAATGGTGCTCAATATGATGATATTTATTTTCTTCACTCAACATTTCAAAAACTTTAAGAATTATTTATTCTTAGCAAAATGGTTTCCTCTTTATATCACCAAAAGCTCAATTTGTTATTAGAATTTTGTTCCGTGTAGTCTTTGTATTGGTATAAAACTCCTATTTAATTTTAAGACACCTGTCAAGTATCTTTTAACTATAAAGATAAAGATGATATCTAACTTATAAAAAACTTCCTCATCATGCAAAATGTAAGGGCATGATCATTATTTCATGGTGAATATATTAATAGGAAATGTTCCTCATCTTCTTATGGATGCGATTGACACCAAGTTTGACTATAAAAAGCTCAAGGTAGAATATAAGAAAAACAAGTGATTGTACTTGAAGAGGTTGTAAATTCTCAACCAACAAATATTGAGGTTATGTTGAGCTTGATCAACAAATAGTTGTTAAAGTGAGTGTAAACCTTTTGTTTTTCAATATTGTTTGACTTCTCCCAATCTACTTCCCCATCCAAAATGTAGGATTTGGTAACTTGTTGTAAAGAGGTCTTCTAAATCAATTTCAAGACATATCGTCAAGTCTTGACATTGGCTCTTTATGGAATACAATGAACAAGACTGGTTTGGTAAGTGATCTCCTTTTTATCTTTGATGAAAAACATTAAGGTCTAAGGAAGTTTAGTTATACTAAAGTGATGATGTTTCAATCACATGCTATTATTTGTGACTAAAACACAATTGTGGTGGAGGCTATAAAAAAAGATAACAAAAGAAAGGAGTTAGTGTTCAAACTGTCTTAAAACCTAATAAATAAATGTCTTGAGTTCTTAACTTAACATATATGAAGAA